TCTGACTGAAGACCTGTCTAACTGACAGCCTGTCTGTCTGACTGAAGACCTGTCTAACTGACAGCCTGTCTGTCTGACTGAAAACCCATCTAACTGACAGCCTGTCTGTCTGACTGAAGAGCCGTCTGACTGACACCTGTCTGTCTGTTTTCCAGGGAGACCGGGGCCCCAAGGGTGCTTGTGGGACTGATGGTCTGAAGGGTGACAAGGTGAGAGAGACTGTGCTGCTGCCGTCTGTGTTTGTTGATGTGTGTTTTTATCCCTGCAGCTCAGACTGTGTAATAAGCCTGATTTTCCCCTTGGCTATGGAGAAGTCAGATTCCAGAGTCAGGGGACACTGGTTTTATTCCCGACTCCACTACACTGTGCCTTATCCACTACACTGTGTCATGACCCCTGTGCTCTGCAGAGCCTGTTTTTAACTCTGTGTTTGTATAAGTGCTTTCAGTCTGCAGTGAGTCTATAACTCTGTCGTGTGCTCTCCCCTGCAGTGAGTCTATAACTCTGTGTCGTGTGCTCTGCTGTTTTTAGGGTGACACAGGGATCTCAGGACGGCCTGGCCTGCCTGGGAGGAAGGGAGAGTCGGTAAGCCATCCTGTGCAGATGCCTGGGGTCTGGACAGGGTTAATACATTAATATATATAAAAATAAATAATTTAATGTGATTGTTTATTGCACTATTAAATGCACTATTATTATCTTTAAATAATAAATATATTGTTACATATTCTGTTTATATCCTCCAAAGTGTTGATGCTGGAGATCCTTTTCCAGCTGTGCTTGTGACTTTACTCCAGCGGTCAGCTCTGCACTGTTCACTTTCTCTTCCAGGGGGAGGTGGGGGCCCCAGGAGTCACGGGGACACCTGGGAAGGAGGGACTGATTGGCCCCAAGGTAAGGGGGGGGGAGAGCTTGCTTGGATGAAGGCTATCAGAGAGATGAGTAGCTGCGTGGGGAGAGAGGAGGGTGTGTGCGTGGCGTTCCCGCAGGCTCAGAGCTGCTCTGTGTGTCTCTGCAGGGTGACAGGGGGTTTGATGGGCTGCAGGGCCCAAAGGGCGCACAGGGAGAGAAGGGCGAGAGGGTGAGTTGAGCCCCTGAGGGGGGCAGTGATCCTTTATCTACTGTCTCCGTCTTTCCGGTCGCGTTCAGCCCCTTCTCCTTGTGATCCCTGTGCTCTCTCCTGTGTGCAGGGCCCCCCCGGTGTGCCCGGCCCCCCTGGACCCAGGGGCAATGATGGCCTACCTGGACTGACTGGACCCCAGGGGCCTGCTGGGATGAAAGGCCCTGAGGGGCTGCAAGGAGAGAAGGTATCGCACATCTCTGTCCTCTTCTAACTTCAGACAGCAGGTTGCCCCAACACAGGCGTAGCTCAAGAGCAGTAAAGGCTTCATAGTCAGTCACAGTCAGTCCACAGCCCTAGGCTGGATCAAGACTAGGATCTCTTCTTGAGCACTACCTCCAGGCCCAGATCAGTTTTCCTAGAAACCTTCAGATCCCTTTCAGCCTTCATTCACACCCTAGTCCAGCCTGAATCCAGTTTCCCAGCCCACTGCAGCACAGCTCTGCTCTCTGGCTGTCCCCTTCAGCTCCAGTCCCATACAATCCACCAGACGCCCAGGCCAGCTGCAGTCCCTGTGGAGCAGACCGGCACGCCCAAGCCAGACTGTCCGGCCCTCCGCTTGCCAATTGTGTTCACTCCCAGCAGGCAGGGCACTCTTTCGCCTGCTCTGAGCTGGCAATGAAAGGAAGTATAACGTGTATAATGTACAGTGTGTTTAATACATTTTCCAATTCAGGGTGAGCGTGGCCCTCCAGGGCCCTCGATGGTGGGCCCCAGGGGAATCCCAGGCATACCAGGAGACCGAGGCGAGCAGGTGAGCTGCAGTCTTCCTGTTTGACTCCTGTCCTGTGCTTCTGTCTGAGCCTCGGGTTCCTCTGTGCAGGAAGGAGCCACTGTACATGTGCACCTTCCTTCCGCATGTATCCTCATTAGAGCTTCAGTACACAAACACCTGGTCTTTTAAGAGTACAGAGTGCACGTCCTTCCTGTTGATATGAGCTGTTAACACATTCGGAAATCTCACGCTATCACTGAACTGACACAGAGCCCGCTGGCGTGAGGTGCTGCTGTTCCCCAGGAACACATTTCTCTGCATGTCAGCAGACCTTGCTGTGTGTTGCAGTGGTTTCATGACACAGTTACTTGAAAACAACAGCTTACTTTATTAGTAAGCGCATTCACTTTGCTGTGTAGCAATGTCATGTGTGCCAGCGTGTGTCCCATGTGCAGCGAGGCGGGAGAGGGAGGAGCCGCGGCCGCACCAGTTAGAGTCTACGCCCCGTCTGAGGGGGTGGAGGCACTGGTGTGAGGTCAGAGAGAAAACGGAAACAGAACAAAAAGGAAAAATACTAAACTGCGCCATTAAGTAAAGCGGCGCGGCACTGTCGTGCAGACTCGCTTGGCGGCAGGGACCAGACTGGGCTTGCCGTGTTTAGAGGTGTCCAGTCTGGGAGAGCAGGCAGGGAGCGGGAGGCCAGAATAACACTAAACGTGGAAAAGGGTCAGCCTGCCCCGGTAGAGCCACAGGACAGGGTGTACCGATCCTCCCCTTCCGGGGTCGCCTTGCTCGTCCTCTTTGGGGGGCTGGTGCTCTGTGTGCCTTTAAAGAGCCCTCACAGCTGCGGCTCGTCTTTGATTAGTGTGTGCAGCTGTGATTCCAAAGGCAAGGTGTCGCCCTGGCTCCAGGGCTCCGCCTCCACACTGAACACGCCCCTCGCGTGTAGTGCCACACATGTTAGTCCTGGGAGTTTAGCAGGTGGCTAGTTTAGTTCAGACCCGCTTGTACAGTCCTTGTTAGAGCCGGTGAGCATGTCTGGGCCCCTGTGACTCCTGCTGTCTGAGGTCTGTGTCTCTCTATTTCAGGGCGATCTGGGTCCTGATGGACCAAAGGGAGATAAGGGGGAGTCTGGTATGACGGTGAGTCTCTCCGCATCCCAGGGCAGTAACAGGACTGGACACAAGACTGTGGAGCGACCAGTTATAGGGTTGGACACACTGTGATCACTGTCCCCTCTGCTCCCATCTTTTCCAGGAGGATGAGATTCGCACATATGTCCGCTCAGAGATGAGTCAGCACTGCGGTAAGTGTCACACACTCAGACACACAGACACCAGCAGTGGGAGTCACACACTCAGACACACAGACACCAGCAGAGGGAGTCACACACTCTTACACAAAGACACCAGCAGAGGGAGTCATACACTCTTACACACAGACACCAGCAGTGGGAGTCACACACTCAGACACACACTCTCACACACAGACACCAGCAGAGGGAGTCACACACTCTCACACACAGACACCAGCAGAGGGAGTCACACACTCTCACACACAGACATCCTAATGGCTGTAGGATAGACCAGGCAGGCTGAGCAGTATCTTCCTGTTCAGGGCTTGGGGTTGGGACAGGGACTTTGTGTTTGAGGTGAGATTTATATTAGTGTGCCTTTAGGCTGTAGTAACACTGTACTGTCTGTTTGTGTTTCAGCCTGCGGGGGTAAGTACCCACCACTTTACAATAGCACTACTGTCTTTTCTGTCCAGACTGGACTACAGGGTTCCGACTGAATGCATTTCCTGGCTGAGACACTCAGGAGCTCGTCCGAGCTTTTTTTTCTCTCGCATAGGTGACTGAGTATGAACTGGTGATAAAGTCCACTTTGTATTGGGCATGCTTAAAACTGAGTATTTGAGTCCCCACCTGTAAAACAGATGTAAATGCTGTGAAGACTCTTCTTGTAGGGCTTTGACGTTCTGCACCATGAGCAGGAGGGCACAGTGAGGTTAAGGCATCACATGCCTTTCCCTGGTGGATACTGTTCACTGGGACAATGGTGTACTCCTTCCTGCTAGCCTGTCAGCGTTTCTGCAACAGTCTCATACACTTCCCCTTTTCCAGGCTGGACTGGATGTTATTTAATACACAGGACATCAGCTGTGCAGGTAGACTCCCATTGACCCCTTTCAAGTTTCACCAGCTGCGGAGCTTTGCGTTGATAAAACAGACTGTATTTGAGTCTGCTCTGAATAAGCCCGCAGAGTGAAAGATCCAGCTCCTGGACTCGGCTTAAATGCAAGAACTGGCAGCAGGTAAAGCTTGGAGTGGCTCACACTGCTGTGCAATGGGAGCCTGACACTGTCGGCGAGCTCTCTCGACAGCCTGTGGCTGCTGTCTGTTCAGGTTGTCTGTGTCTCCTTATGCTTCAGGGAATTACAGGATGAAGCCGCCAGTCTTCGACACCTTGGGAGCAGAGACAGAGGTGTCAGAAAGTAATTGTTGTTTTCTGTTTCTGTGTTTGGTTATGTACAGTATAGAAGTACTCTTGCACACAGGCACATTGACTCAGAGACCGGCACACCCTTGGAGACAGAATCCGACACCAGGGGAACACATTGACTCCTACAGCACAGCTGATTGATTCGTTTTGAGTATTATGAGCTACAGGATGTTTTTACTTGTTAATCAAAAAAAGAAACAGCAGTACTGTACTGTAACTCCAAACCTCTTGCTTATGAAAATGTACCCACATTGAACCAACAATTTTAAAATATCCAGCCTGCCAGTTAGTAAAAACCAGAACTGGATCAATCTGCTGTGCAGTGGGGTCATGTGACCCCAGCTGACAGCGCCAGTGGCTCTTACTAACTCACACCTTTGTCTCTAACCCACTGGTTTCCTACGGTGATGTTTCGTTGGATTTCTGGGGATGGGAGATGGTCATTTTTCCATAATAAGTTGTTCAAATAGGAATAACAACTCTGCGAGTGCCATCTTCTGTTGTACTGTGTTGTTCTCCTCTGTTGTGAATGCTTCTTTGTCCCAGAAGTCACCCCCAAGATTCCATCTGACTGTCTTCTTGATGTTGTTGCTGTGACTGTCTTATGTTGTTTACTAACGAGCCGAGTTTGTCTGTTCTCTCCTTGGGTCTTGCTCATGTCCTCCACACACACCCAACTGCCCCGCCCCTCTCAGGTTTTGTCCCAGACTCCCCATCCCGCCTGCCTGCCCAGTCCTATCGCACCCGGCCCATTCCAGTACTGAAGCTGTCGCAGTCAGGCGAGCAGGGTGAGTCCGTCTGTCCATCTGCTGTTCGTCCATCTGCCTGCCCACCTGTCTCTCTCTGCATGCGAGTGTATCTTCCTCACTCTCTCTCTGCATGTGAGTGTCTTCCTCACTCTCTCTGCATGTGAGTGTGTCTTTTCTAATGCTTTTATCCAGGTCATCTCAAGAGAGTGTCAATGCAGTGTAAAACATAGATAAGATCACTTTATTAGCCATATACAATTTCTTGCATTAGAAATTCATCTTTTCGCATACCCTAGCTTGCTCTCCATGAGACACAGACACACAGACAGGGAGAGAAGCTTGGGGTCAGAGCAGTGTCAGCCATTTATACGGCACCCCTGGAGCAGTTGGGGTTAAGGGCCTTGCTCAGGGGCCCATCGGAGTAAGATTCCTCTGCCGGCCGTGGGATTTGAACCGGCAGCCTTCCAGCCACAGGTGCAGATCCTTAGCCACAGTACCACCACTCTTCCCCCTATATATTTAGAGAGAGAGAGTGATTTTTTTTTTACAAAAAATGTAACTCAGGTCTGATGGATTGTATCAAATATTTTAAACTTAAATGTCAAAATCTTAATATACTCTACAGATCAGGTAAACAATAGGATTCAGTAGGAAATATTTCCATTTTTGTGAAATTACATAACTGAAGCTCAGTCTTTTCAATCCACGAACAATACTGATCGATCAATAAGCTTCTCAGTTCATTATTCCTCCTGCTTGAAATGGAAATAACATTGTTAATGAACACAGTGAACTATTGATATAAAACGTGTTTGTTACTGAAACAGGCTACACTGAGGGTAACTGAAAGTGCTTCTGTTCCGATTGCCTGCTCCTCCTCGTCATCAACACAGTTAGAGCTGTGGACTAATGCACAAGTCTTTGCAGTTGATAGACCTGCAGTGACAACACAGGTCCACTGTTTTCAGGGTGGGAGCTGTGTTGCGATTCTGTGTTCATCTCCCTGTTCACTGCTTTGACATTCACTGGGCTCCAAGTGTGCTGATCACCTCATCTTCTCTCTCTGTCCCTGTCCTTGTTATTTTGCCACTCTCTTATTCTTCATTTGCTGTACTTTTAATGTTTTTTGTACATATTTTTAAAGGTTTTATTTTCAAGGCCTGTAAAATCTTGTTGTGGTTGCCAGCTGAATCAGCTTGCTGCTGTCAGTGTCGTTGAGCAAGGTCAGGCACAGTCAAGCAGGCTTAAGAAAACCCACTGAGCCTGCAGGCTCGCAGAGCACTGTCGGAACACGAGATGCCGTTTGCAGAAACACCTGGGGGGCTCAGCTCTAGCTTCAGTAAAGGGTGCAGAGTGGAGCATTCTGGGACATGTCAATCCTAGGTGTTGTACAGGGGCAACAGCAGGGCAAACCACAGAATTACCAGGTTGTTTCATGAGATCAGTCCTTTCTTCAACTACTGGGCCATACTTACTCCTGTGTATGCTTTGTACCTGTGTGTAACTGAGAGATCACTTTGGTGAAGTGCATATGAGTAACATCATATTAGCTTCTTGCTTTGGAATGCTTTTTCTGGCCAGCCCTGTTTCTGCAGATCAGTCAGCAGTGTTTGAAGCCGTGAAGATCAGAGTCTTCCCATGTTAAAATGAGCAGATCTGTGAGATAATGTCACAACCCTGAACACACATTGGAGCAGACCCAGCTGCAGCAGTGTCCAAGGCTACAATTGGAGCCTTGTGCTTGCTGCAGGGCCTGATGCGGGCCACAAAGTCACGAAGAAAACAAGGTTGCAGAAGAAATATGGGGGAAATGAGAGGCTCATTTTAGCATGGCAGGACTGTGTAGCGGGCCACTCTTTCTCATCATTGAGCTCTGCTTGAAGCCAGTCTGCTGTCTGTTGGTTTGGGGGTGTACAGAATGTGTGTGGAGTGTGTTGGGGTGCTGTCATTTCCCACAGCCTGGTCCCTGAGTGAATTCGTCCCGGTCTGTCCAGCAGAGGAAGTTCCATTCTGCAGACACGGCTTCCAGTGGCTGGTTCAGCAGTGCTGAAAAGCTTGGCCTGGTCCAGCCTGCCCTGCTGTTTGGTCTGGCTGAACGAAATGGGGACTCAGTGCCAGTGTGTCTGATTGGATGACACTGACTGCCAGTGTACTGAGTCCCTAATGGGACCGGATGACTGACTGACCCATTGATTGACTGACAAACTGAACGCTACAGATAATCTGGGCTGATGGAGTGATGACTGCCTGATGGACAGACAGCTGTAGGTCAGCAGGGCAGGCAGTGTAGGGCAGAGGGGGCTCTGATTGTCTGGCGCCCCCTATGTTTCAGGGCGGGAGCTGCGTGTGGTGGTGAATACAAATGACCCTGACTACGAGCATGTATACTCTGTGGAGAGCTACGATGACCCCACAGAGGAAGACCTGTTTCCCACCGTCACCTTAACTGAGGGTCAGTATGCTCCTTTCCTCTCACCTCTCTGTACTTCAGTCTCTTGTTTCTCCCACAAATTCAGATTCAAATACAAAGTGCTTTGCTGGTATGGCTGGTAAGTTACTGTGTTAACAAAGCATGGTACTTGCTATGGAAAAGTGGAAAAAATTGTGGAACATTTTTTATGTAGGTTGTGCTACTCCAAATTGGCACTGCTCACACAAGAGAAATTTAGTATTATTGACGATTGGATTATGCTGCATTAATGAGCTAACCAGCATTAAAATACTCTTGATTTCAAAGTGCCTAGTCATGATGTGAGTCCTTGAGTCACTAGAAGATGAAGATGATGATCTGACCGTGTTCCCCCTCAGTCGCTGTATGCCCAGTAGCTCTTGCCTTGCCAGTGGGTCCGTGTGCTGGTCTGAGCAGTGATTGTACTGTTCTGTCTCCTCAGGCGAAACCAGTACCATCGACCCCCGGCAGGCCGTGCGCAGCAGGCGAGCGCTCGCTGGTGAAGGTAACGGTGCTACTGGTGCACCACGGCTCACCGCTCCAGGGTGGCTGCTTTCAAAAGCTTCTTCTGGCAGACAGGGTTGAGCTGATGGGGGACTGATGGGTGGGGTGTGGCCCAGTGGTCAGGACCTGTTCTGTTCATGGCAGCTGGACACTTCTCTTTTCTTTCAGCCCCTGCAACAACCTGGGAGTCTGTGGTTTCCAGCTGTGTTCCTGCAGCGCAGCAGGCGTGCAGATCTCCAGTCTGAACAAAGATTCAGTTGATGCATTTGAGCAAAGAGTTACTTAGACATTGTGGTTAAGTGATCAGATGAAGTGAAAGCCCTTGTGAAAGAAAACTAATGCTGAGACACACTGCTTCTCTAACCTATCAGCCTACTAGACAGAAACAAAGTATTAATTAGAAGTACCAGTGAATCAATTAAGTGATCAAAGCACTTGTGAGACTGGAGATCTGCAAAGGCCTCAACTAGAATTCCCTCTTTCAGTCTGATGAGTTTAAACAGTCCCATGACACAGTCCGAGTCACTCTGCAGCCTTTATCTGCAGGAACGCACAGATCTGAAGTGCTGCCCATGCTGGTGTCCTGCTTAATTTCCTAGGTTTAACCATCTAAAACTGCCTTTTGTTTTGTAGCTTTTTCCATCAAGGTCTTGCCTTGTTTCTGGTGCAAGTTTTACTAACATCCCTCCAGGGCCATGTGCACGCAGGGACGGTGGTGCTGGCTGAGTTCTGCATGTCGGCATGACCTGGCAGTACAGACTGGTGGTTTTGGAAACTGGTGTTTTATGCATGAAAAGGTCTTGTTTGTGGTGACCAATGCATATTGGACATTTCTGTGTTACTGAGACAGAGCTGGAGGCCTGTCTGTACTTGCTTGTGCTTACAAAACCTGCACATCCTGTTACACAAGTCAGTATGACAGCACTTCCAGCCTGTTAGTTTGCCAGATAGCTCCAACGCAAACCCATCAGAACAGAGCTGCAACCAGAGCTGAACTCATGCTGCCTTCCCCTGCCCAGCAGACTCCTGCTTGTTGCCTCTGGAGGAGGGCACCTGCTCACGCTACACCCTGCGCTGGTACTTCAACTCTCGGGTGTCCGACTGCCGCCCCTTCATCTACAGCGGGTGCGGAGGAAACGCCAACCACTTCACCTCTAAAGAGGACTGTCAGCTCCACTGCCAGGGCAAGCGGGCAGGTAAGGGCATTGCCACCTGCAGTGGCAGGTGTGTAGGAGTGTGGAGATTGGAGACCTGCTGTTGTCAGGCTGGAATTGTACCTGAGTGGCCTTTCAGGAGCAGGCGAGGAAGAAGATGAGTGTACAAAAATATCACTTCAGCACTTCATGGATGTCTTGCTGTTTTTTTATTGACGCAATATTCCAAAGAACAAAAAGTTGAATTTGTGTTTCATAATTTACCAATCAGAAGTGTCAGTTGTCAGACAGAACAGGAGAGGTACGCAGCATCCTTTGAAGAGGCATGGAGCAAAATGGAATCCTGTGAAGCATGCCCTGTCAGAGCTATATGCTTCTTTCCATTCTGACCTGCAGTGGAGAGATCACAGGCTCAGAAGTTTCTAGCTCATAAGAACAGTGCTCACTGTTGAGTGGAATAGCCAAAGCCACTTGGACCATCCTCTCCAGCACTAGAGAAACCCAGACAGTCAGCTACTGACACAAGACCATCCCCTCCAGCACTAGAGAAACCCAGACTCAGTCAGCTACTGACACAAGACCATCCCCTCCAGCACTAGAGAAACCTGGTCTCAGTCAGCTAATGACACAGGACCATCCCCTTCAGCACTAGAGAAAGACAGTCTCAGTCAGCTACTGACAGAGCCCAAACTCAGAGTGAAACATTTGTGGATTGTCTGGGAATTACATGTATATGAGGACATGCTGAGAGTCTGCATCTTATGTGTTTTGTAGTGAGGACAGCTGAAAAGATGAGGAGATGGCTATTCTAAAGTATGAAAAAATGCAGGTTAAAAGCAAAAACTAGGACAGAGCCTGCATGTGATATATATGTTTAAGGCAAGAGCCAGCATGGCTGATCTGGAAGGGTCCATTTGCCTCTGGGTCTTCATTCCATGTTTTCTGGTAATGACCTAAATCAGTTTGTTATTCAAATGCTGGTGCTCTCAGGGGACAAAGAGACCCAAAATACTTGGAGACATGCTGGGCTTGAGGATTAGAACTGTAGTTAATATTAAAATTGTATGTTTAGGATACTGAGATATAAACTGGCATCCAATTTCAAAGAAAAATATTTTGGCCCTGCTTTATTTTCAATATTTTTTGCATGCTACTTGTAAAGCACTGGAGTTTTAAAAGAGCTATGTATCTGTGTGAGAGTCGCTTCTCATTACGGAGAGGACAGATTAATATGGTGAAGCATTCACAGATCATTCTGTATTTTCTCTCTCCCCACAGCTATCCTTCTCTAGTGTTCTGTCTCTCTGTATCCTCTCTCTCTACATCCTTGTCTCTCTCTGTATTGCTTTGTGCTGACTTTATCATTCTGAAATCTTGGGGGTAGATGATGTCTAAAAACTCAGCTTAGTGCTTGGGGTCATGAGCTATTTAGAATCTTTCTCCTCCTATCATAGCTGAACAGACACACATGGCTATAAATAAAATCAGCTGAGAACTGCATATGAACTGTCTGTCTCTGTTCTTCACTGTACACGACACTCTCACACGCACACAGGAACACAGGCAGGAAAGTGAAGCACACAACCCTGCACAAAGCATAACCTGTATCTGCACCAGTAACAGTGCACAGACACTGGGAAGAGCTCTTCACAGGCAGAGCAGGGCTTTGTAGATTCTTTGTATGAATGGGTCATTCTTCTGTGTCCTAGAAGGTTAAAAGGCACAGTTTTCTATATCATCTTCTTCAGCCTCTTCTTCCTTTTTTCCTTATTTTGGGAACGTGGCTGTTGCTCCAGCATGCTTCTGCTCACAGTAAGAAAGACGTACGTCCAGCAGCCTGCGCTTCCAGGCTTCATGGGCAGATGGGTGTTTGGAGCTACAGGCTCCTGTTCTTGCTGACTGGAGTCACAACTATATCTGTGTCCAGATACTGAGATCTAAGTGACAGCTTCTGCTTTTTGAGGTGGGGGGAGGGGGGTTACAGCTTCTCCCAGGCCCCCCAACATTTTTCAAAAGAAATGTTTACACTCCCACATCAATTTCCCCAGGTTTCTGGGGCTGAGAGTCTGGGTGAACCAAGTATAGGAGCCTTCCCTGGGGAGTGGGAGTTTTAAATCCCCTTGGGGACACTAAGGTGCTGTACTTCCCCTGTATTCCTCTATCCAGTCCAGATGGATACAGTAATTGTGGGAAAACCACTTGGGTGGCACACTGTAATGCACTTTCCCATGTCAGAAAACAGCATAAACTCTGCCTTTGAGCCCCAACAGGCTTCGGCCTTTTACCTGCGGTGTGCTGAGTTGTGGGTTTCTCTGTTTCAGACACAGCGCTGGAGAAGAAGGACAGCTGAGATGGTCATAGCAATCCATCGCTGAGCAGTTTACAAAATGGACTCCCTTTCACCTCTGCAGTAGGCACCCCATACTTCTGACACATCCCTCCCTGCACACACAGACATGGGGGAATGAGCTGCACACACTGCCACACACAAATAATGCCAGATGGAGACACAATCACAAAGATACTGGGGAAAAGTACACACAATGATTGACATAGAAAACAGACATGAACAGTGCCATGTGTGTTGGCCGTACCTATTTGTTATGCAAGAGGCAGAACAGGAACAAACTAACAATTGAAACACTCTTGATTTTAAACTGCTGAAAGAGCAGACAGTTCCAACTCTAAATGCAGCATCAAAGAAGTATATTTAAGCATGTGTTCACAACTGAACTTAGTTTTCCTAAAGAAACAGGAAAATTTAGTGTTATGGAAACTGAACCTTACACTATTTTATTACACACAGGCAAATTCAATTATATATACACTGAAGATCCATTAAACTGTCAAAAAAATATTTTAAGAAAACTATAGCAGCATCTATTCTCAGTCATTCCTGAGATATTCCACATGGAAGAATCCTAGAATCCCCAAATATGATTTAGTCAGAACTGATTCTTTGGGAATGGATAAAATGCTTAGTGCCATGGACACTGTCTTTTTTCAACCAGTGCTGGCTGGAAATTCAAAGGAATTTGGAGCAAAACACTGGATGTCAGCAGCAGAGCTCCTGAACACACAGCCAATCTTTCAACAGATTCTCAGACGAAGATCTATGTAGATATTATAGAAAAGGGAACAAAGACCCGTTGCCTACAACTTACATTACACAATGCTGTTCTGCAGTAGTCAATTTAAACCAGCACCCTGGACAGCACCTCTCTTTCTGACAGTTCGTCTTTCCCTGATGAAGGGGGACTAGTGCCCGAGTCTCTCTCAGAGGGGTGTGTGATGACTCTCATGTGTGTTAGCCATCTTCTGCTCTTTTTACCTTCTTTTAAAACCTGTGTGAAAATCTCAAATCCTGTTTCGTTTGTGGCCAAATGGCGAGGCTGAAAGCACATACCATGCCACGCCCTCTGCCGCCACGCCCACTGCCTGCCTGTCTGCTCAGACTCTGGCGCCCGGCCAGCATATGACCCGAGGTGAGTGCTTGAGCCAGCTGCTCCCTGTGTGTCACCCCAGGTGAGCTCCTCCTGCTGCTCCGTCCTTCACAGGAGGAGTCAGGCACCGGCCACATCCTTCTCCTGCTGCCTGTTGCACGAGAATCCTGTTCTTGGAGAGGCAGAGACATGGGGAAATCTGGTCCCACAGAATAGCGCAGTAGTACAGGGAGGGAGCCCAGGATGTCCACAACCGTCTCTTTTGCCTTACAGTTGAGTGGAATTTCAGTTTATATATATGCACTCCCCAATGTCTAGAACCAGCTTTAAAAATGTATGGTCAGATATTCTAAACATGTGCACGTTAGGGTGAGAAGGGAATCTGATATAATGTACAAATGTTTTTATATTGCCTGGGAAATCATATTTTTTTGTCTGAAATATGTTTTTTTAACTTTGCATGTTTGTCTCCACAAATGAATGGTGCTATATTTAATGTTATTTGTATTGAAGCTTTTATGTTTTAAATTAAGATGGAATCTGCCATTTTTTGTAAAAACTGAAGGTGGAATTTTAAAGCAATGTATTAAATACAGGTCTTATTTTCAAAATGTAAAAAAAAAAAATTATTAAAAAAACCTAAAGTAATTGAATGTTGTGTGATGGCTACTGTTTCAAAGCTAAAGCATCTGCACAACTGGCCAAATCTTTCACAAGTATGTTGTTGAAAATCACTGCCAGGGTGAAATTAGACACTTGTGCTCGATGGTCCCCAACATGTAGACAAAAGGCTCCACGTCTTTCTATGATGCCCCCTGAATGCACACAAACACAGGAGCCCTAATGACGGACTAGAGCCATGCCTGTCATCGAACCCTCATCCCTGGGCTGAAAGGCCCGAGCAGGTGGCCATCTGTGTGAGTGGTTGAGGGTGTGTTGTCTTGGAGAAGTGCTTTCCCTGCCAGATGTAAAGTTCCAGGAGGCTTCATGCTAAAAGCTTACAGACTTATTACATGACAGGTATTTGCTGAAGGCTCTATTCCTCGTGATGAAGCGGTGCACCTTGCTCTTGTGTTCCACTTCAACACGTGTGGATAAGAGCTTTCCTAGGATATGGACTTGAAAAACAGCTAAGAACCATCAAGGTTAAGGTGCCAGAGATACTCACGACAGTTCAGCTCTTTAGGGTTTTAATATTCTCATCTAAAATCTACAGTATAGCTGCGTACTTCTGCTTAATTGCTGTTTTAATCATTCATTCTTAAATTTTGATTGTATTAAATTAACTATCATTATAGCACTGTTTTGCATCTGCTCAGGCTATATTTACTTTATTTACTGGATGTTTTTTGTGTTTGTAATTTAATTGAATTATTTTTATTGGGCCCCCTTGTTTAGGGCGTCTCCTTCATGGCCAGGTTAAGGCACAGCTGACTAGACACGTGCTAATTGTTCATTTTTCACTTTCGAATAAAATACACATACAATTCACTGAAAGCGTTCATGCATATTATTTCAAATAAAAGTAGATGTGATTTTCCATGTCATTATGTGCGAGCTGTAATTTAATTATGGACTTACGGACCCGACAAATGCAGGTAAAGCAAATCTGAGAAACAACATGAAGTCTGTAAGTGACTGACTGACTCATCGAGAGGCGTTACTCTGCCTGTGACTGCCTGATGCCCGAACTACAGTGAAGCCTTTGAAGGGCAGGACAGCAGACATAGTAGAAGCAGTAAATGACATTCAAAAAGACTGATAAAAGAACTCGTGGACCCTTGTCTTTCGATGGCCTTAAATGATTAAAAACTCACCCACGCAAAGAAGTACATAAATACTCTGAAAAAGACGGAAGAGGAGAGATCAATAAACAGGTCCGAGGGGACTGGAGCTTTCCCGGTCTTAATTAAAGCAGCGCAGTGCCGAGAGCAGCCCTGGGCCTCTCTCTGCAGACTACACCTGCTCTGGCCACATCATCAGAGTGACAAACAGCACTGCGGTAATGGAGCTGTCTGACCAGGATGGAAAGGGGCTCCTCGTCCCAACGCTGCCTTGCCTCCCAGGCAGCTGTCAGTCTGCAGCCCTCTCCTGCGACTCCAGCAGCACAAGAGTCCCCTCTGCACCACATAGCCCTGTCACACATGCCTGCAAAATGGAGCTGGCTAGGACTGTGAGGGAAAGCTAACCTGACTGCAAAAGAAAACTCGAAACACACAGTCTTCGGCATCTTCAACACCCAAACTAACCTCCACTGACTACCCAAAACCATACAAGACAAATGGCACTCACCCGTACTAAACTAGTGTACTAATACAAAATCAACTAAGTGTGTAAAGTGTACCCAACAACCTAAACTAACCTTATATACAAAAGTTCACACAAAAACACAAGTGAACCAGGAATACAAAAAAAAAGGGAAAACAAGAGTAATCAACAGGAACAGGGTACAAAAGAACACAAAGGTTGAACATGTAACATGTTAGGGCAAGATAATGGCAAAACAAGGATGAACACACAAAAACAAAAGTACAAATAAACTAACAGAAAACCAACAAAACAACAAAGCCAAAGCTATACGAAAATACACACACACAAAGTAAAACAAAGCAAACCAACGAAACCGAAGCAATAACCAAAAGCGAAGCAATAACCAAAACCAAACGGGACTGAAGTCAAACGAAAGGCCTCTCCTTGCTGAAAACCTCCATGTTATATGCTGAATAAGATGTGTTCTGATTGGCTGAGAGCTAATTGATGATGACGTCATACTGAAACAGTGGTGTGATGGTGGGCCAATGGGGGAGGGAGAACAATCAAGGGTCAGCAGTGTGGACATAACAGAAAAAAACACACAAAGAACACACACTGGGACGTAACAGCCTCATACCAGCTCTCCCGCTGAGACCCCCACATGGCCTCGTACCCCCTCCCTCACTGACCACTCACCTTTCACAGGAAAAACACTTCTACCTGCTCTGCCTCCCTCTGTGAGTCACTCACCTGGCTTCATACTCCCTCCCTGCTGAGACCCTCACCTAATAATAATAAATACTCATTTAACGCTTTTCTGCAGACTCCACTCAAATCACTTTACCCCCTTCCACCACCAATGTGTATTCCCCACAAGAGTGCGCCAGTAAGCTCCCCACACCAGCTCTCAGAGTGAAGCCAGTTCAGAGATGGGGATTATTAGGAGGCGATGATTTGTAAAGGCTGGGGAGAAATTTAAACACTTCTACTCTTTTGGAGAAACGAACTGGGATTTTTAAGGACCACAGAGAGTCAGGACCTCGGTTTTATGTCTCACCCGGAGGACGACACAGATTTAACATTATAGTGTCCCCCTCATTAGGGGCATTAGGAGCCACACAGACTGCAGGGTGGCAGGACATTTTATGGAGGACAGGCAGCTCCAGCAAGTCTGCCGTTTGTGAATGAGTAACGGCCAAGGGGCTAAAAAATGAGCTCAGCGGCTCTGATTGCTCATCATTGTGAGTCACCCATCAATGCTGCCCTGAGATAGAGTGAAGCTGTCAGTGCAGCTTTCTGGGAAGCTAGATAGGAAAGAGTTGGGGGCACAGATCACGGGGCTGGGGTTTCTTGTCTTCTTTTGATAGAAACAGCCCAACAGGATGAATGGACCACATCTTACTTGCAATTGTGATTAATGATGCGAGGTTGCACAGGTGAAGAGAAATGCACATTGTTTCTGTGGCTCTTTGCTGCTTGGTCGCCCCTGACTCTCAAGTCCCTGAGTTACTGAACCTTCTTCTGCTTTGTCTTCAGAAGAGGCAATTTAGACTGAAGCCCTGTTATCAGTGATTGCCCTTGCTGACCACCCTTAGTCTAGGAGAGTCGCTTTGATGAACACAAATAATCATTCATAGACGAGGAGAAGATAGTGGAATCTATGGGAATCATGATGGCAAGAAGCCTCACTGTCTCACTGTAGCTCTGCTCCTTCCCTTGTGCAATAATGGTGCTCAAGTCCAGGCCCAGAGAGTTCACTTCTGCTGTTTTCCTTTTTTAATTATTACCGAGGTCCCCTCTCCTTGCCTCCACATCTCACTATCTGCAAGTCCTCAATTTATTGGTAAGGCTGCAAAGTAATTACACCGGCATTTATTGTGCATTCAGATGACACGGCCAGCATGTTCCACTGATTAAAAGTCCCTGTGTGTAGTGGAGCTGCTACTGATTTAATTGAACTAATTGCTTTAAGGCTCTTTGACTTTCTTCCCCGTGATGGGAAGAGGCTGCGCTCGCTGGGCCATAATGAGCGCAGTTATAAATAGGCCTCATTGATCCGGAGACAGATGCCACCCACGCACCGTGGATCAGCTCAGGAAGAAGTGCTCCGCCACGCGGCCAAGCTACTGGACGGAGAGATGACCTCCACCTCTAAGGGTGTTCCTGAGGACTTACACATTTTAATTCTACAAAGATATAGTAAAGTAGGAGAAGTAACACTCCAACTTGATTAAAGACCTCCATTTTTGCAGGTATCGGAGTGTTATATCCAGCTCCACGCACACTTGTGAACAGTGTACTTATCAACGATTCCCAGACTGGGAGTCAGCATTCACCCAGAGTGACCCGGAGCAGGCTACTGGTTTGCAGTGAGCCTGTAGCAGGGCTGGACTGCCCTGTGCGGGGGATCTGTCTGGCCCAGCAGCACCTGGCAGAGGTATGGAATCGGAGAACAGGATGGACTGCATACGGGACAGACAGCAGGTAACTGTTGAGCAGTAAATCTGGACTTTGTTGAGCAGGGTGTGAAGGATCAGGTCTCAATCTTCTTTACGGACAGCTCCAGCAGAGCTGTGAGAAACTCTGTCTCTGGTACCTGGTTTTCAGAGCCCTGTTTCACTTCTACACTTTTTTTTACATCCGTGGGCTCTATTCTGAATGCTTCAGGGATTTTCAGTCAAGCCTGATTGATCTCTCCTGTGTAACAAATTGAAACAACAGACTGCTGTAATAAACCTGTTCAGTACTGCACACAGAGACAAGCTGTAGATCCGAGGTAGTTCTGATTACAGGCATGCTCCATCCACCATTAACATATCTAATGAATAAATAAGAAGTCTATACTTGACAACAATTCCTCTTTTTCGTTTATTGAACACTGCCTCTTCCAAACACATGGTAGCTTGGATTTCAAATGAGCTAACTATAGTTGCACAATAGGTCTTCATACCCTGTCAAGCTTGCTGTGCTGAATAAGTGCTCACAGAAATTGAAAGGAGGTGTCACTGTGACATCAGAAGGACTTAGCAAATTCAGAAATACTGCAGGTGAATTATGGCTGGAGAGCAGGTTGTCAAACGCTCTGTTTGAGAACTGGTCTCAGTTTGAAGAATTTCAGCCTGATAGAATGGGTACAAATGCTTTCATAGGGCGAAAGCAAAAGTGCTATAACATGTTCTGGAGCTGAGAGTGATGAGGATGGGGAGGAGAGCTGAATGATGGGAGGGATGGAGGGAAGATGATGCTGGGGACAGGGCGGTGGGGAGAGAGGGGGAGAGAGTCGAGGAGAGGAGAGGAGTGGCTCCTGATCAGTGCTGTCACACAGCAGACTGTGCTGGAGCCGAGAGCCACGGGCAGCACACAGCTGGACACATCTGGACAGACAGACACACACCAACACAGAGGAAGGAGAGGAAGACAGAGCCTCAAAGCCTGCCACTGAGCTGGACTCCTGCCGCATTCCCGAAGAAAAAGTAAAGGACTCCATCGGCTGACGAAGACCTGCCCGGAAGAGCTGCACCAAGTAAGTGCGTCAGGCAGCCTGTGTGTGGAGACGTGAACGCTAGTGCCCATGGGACTGTCTGTGGTTACAGGTTCAAGTTTACTGCTTTTGCAGTCAGGTACTGTCAGTTGACATTTGTGTCTTGGAAGGTTTACCAAGCTCACAAAAAATCATTAAACTTTTGTTTTAATTTCCTTTTCATACACCGTAGCTCTTCTCTCTCTCCTATTTTCAAGGTGTTCACACTGTGACTGGAACTAACACGGCGGTGCGATCTCTTAGTTTGACAAAGAAAGAAATTCTCTCAGACGAGAACCATGACTGTGGTTCCAATTAGCAGAGTATTAACAGAGTGAAATATTAGTTTTGGAATGTTTAGAAAATAAAAGATTAAATTTCATATGGCACATGTTAATATAAAGTTCGTACAGAATATAGCAAAACAAGCACACATACACACGTTAAATTAACATTTTCGATTATACTGTTATGTATTTTTCATGGAGAATCCTGGAGCATTTTTATATCGCAGTGTTATGGTCAGAGCTGGACTCGGGAAATTTCTCTCCTAGCACAGTTTGCACATAGGAAGAGATGACAAATGCTATACTTTGTGGCGTTCCGACAAGGATGACAGAATTCTCTAAGAAAGTGGGCAAAGATCCACTTAGGGCTGCATGAGATCGTAAAAAAAAAAACAGTGCGTTAGAGGGTGCTGAACTGTCGCAGACTTGTTCTCTTACTAAACGGCAGACTGTTTTTACCAGTTTTCCTTGACTGATACAGTCTTTATATCCTTTCACCGGCTCTTTGTCTGAACATAAATTTTGCATTAGATGAACAGAGTCCTCTTGCTGCTGTCTTTTCTCATTTGAGAGCCCGTGCGCATGTGCTTTCTCAGCTCCCTCAGCAACGGGACCCCCTGTCTTGCTCTGCCTCTCCCTTCAGTGGTCACGCCTTCAGCGAGGGGGGCTGTGCTCCTGCTGCTCCTGATGCTGTGGGGTGCCCTGGGCCAAGCCATGAAGCTGCGGGAGCAGCCTCTCCCCGCAGCCAGGAGACAGGCGTATGAGGTTGGAGACCTGCTGGCCATCAGCGTCCTGGACCGAGGCAGAGCGCTGAGCTCCCTGCTGGACGCAGTGCCGGTCCCTGTCAGCGCCCGGGTGAGCCCTCGGAAACGGACTCAGCACCGAGCATCGGTCGCGGCCCCCAAGAGGAACCCACAGGGGACATGGTTCTCCCTCTCCCTGGACGTCCCCACCAGTATCCTGAGCATCCTCATTGACCTGGCAAAGGCCAAGGAGCTCCGGGCCAAGGCCGCTGCCAACGCAGAGCTCATGGCACGCATCGGGCGCCGGAAATGACCACAGGGCTGGAGACTTAGGGACATGCGGAACGAGGGTGGCAAAGGGGTGACGGGGATAGTGGGAAACTGGGGCGCTGATATACAGAGCCCTGCCCAGTGAACATGAGCTGCTTTGCTCTGGACAATACTAAGCAAAAACGTAGCAGCCAGTAACACAGCTGGACTTGTACAGCCTGCAGGCAGGTACTCAGGATCAAAGGGGAAGCGTGTTGAGAAAAGTGGATAATTCTACTGCCCTTGAAGCTGCATGTTTTAAAATGGGCTCTGTGCACGTTTCATAAAACTCTAATCTTTCTGTACTACTCTGGCACACACTTCAGGACAGGAGCAAGGGGCTCTTTATTGGACTACTGTATAATATATATATATTTACTGGTCCATTAGTTATTGAATTAAACCTGTTACTCCATGCAGTGTTGGGTATCTTTTTAGTGCTTCAGTAGTGGTCATAGTAAACTGATTGTTTTCTACAGCTAACCAAGACGCTTTAGTGAGTGGGACATGTCTTCCAGTGACACAAGTGGAGGAGGAGGAAAGTCACATCCAACTGTTCAAATCTCAAGAGGGCTGGAGAAACAAGACTGGGAGTCTGAATGCGATGTCAAAGTGTTGCATTGCTTGGGCTGCATGAGGTGTTGCACAGTAAGTGCTGGATGGTCTACTATTCCTGATTAAGGATGAACTAAAAGCTAATCAAACAACATCTGAGTTCATAAATCATTTAACAGCACTCTGAATTATTTCACCTATTTGTTCCTCCTTTTCAAAACAAGCTGTTATGAAGTGATGTGTATATTAATCTTTCAGGATAATGGTTTTCGCAGACCCCAGGCACCTGGCACTGTTGTGACAATAAGGTTTTTCCTTTTGCAAATATGGTGAACTTTAGTTATACAGTGTCCACTAGTGGGTGAACAGTGTGTTTCCAGGCTACCAAATAGTCAGCACAGCTGAGGTACTGCTGTACATCAGGGCCACTTGGTGTGTACTATAATAGGCCATGGTCCAGCTTTCAGTGCTCCACAGTGTGGGCCAGGTAGGTCAATCTTCAGCCCTGGAGGGCTGGCATTCCTGCGGGTTTTTATTCCTGTTCGGCTGTCCTAGGTTTGAAAAGGCGATTTATAAATAAAAGTTATTATTAAATCAGCTCATTATTGTACCAATTTACAGTTTCACATCTGGACACCCTGACCTGGACACTTAAACCTCAGGAAATGTGAAGGACTGCCCTGCTGGAGGCCACATTCTTCATTATAAGTTGCTGAATAGGCCAACAAACTTTATGAGCACTTGATCTCTCTCTCTCCTTTAGAGGTAAAAACCTTTACGGATTCCTCCCTGCAGGAATCCCACTCTTTACCCTCTAAGGAGCTCTGTAGACCAGGCTTCCCAGTCCTGGATCTTGACCCCCTGTCTTCCGCTTCTCATTGCGACCCAGGTCCTAGGTCCTTAATTATACGTTTTAACTAAATTAATTTGCTTAATGGGAAGTGTAACTGTTCCATTAACACCTAACTTGAACCTGTTAACTATTACTGTTTACATGCAATTTGAAATCTGCCATGTCTATAGACTGAAAATAGTGAAGGTGCTCCGATTAGCAGGTCAATTAGCTCAGCTTTGGGCTCAGTGAAGAGCCCTGGAGTGCAGATGAGATTTAGGCTTGACAAGGTGTCAGCGTCACACAACCCGAGTCTGGACCTCAGACACGCAGATAACTGCAACAAGCCGATGACAAAACTGGGTCTATGGACGTACAGTACATACTGTGCCGCTCGGCGAGAGGAAAGGAAATAAACTGTGACTGAAGAGGGACGAGTCAGGCGCCTCGGGCGCGCTGGGCTGCCTGATTACTGCTCACATCAGAAAGGGGCTCACACTGTTTGGACAGCTCGTTTCTGCAGCTTTTATACCGTAAACTGGCACGCTGCGATCAGCAGCCAGCCTGCGCTTTCTGAATTTCCTCTCTTACCACACGAGAATTATAATCGCGTTACTCTTCCGTCTGGACAGTCACTGCAGGGGACAGAGAATCCCAGTATCCCTCACCTATCATTTCTGTCTGATTGTCCCCCAATGTCTATAGAATTAAACATACTAAAAACAAAAACAAAAATGATGTCCAAAGTACAAAGACAAAAAACAGTACAGCTGCTGTACTTCAACAGTGCCGTTATGTCCGTTATGTTGAACTGATGATCATGTGCTCAGGAACAACAAATAACTCTTACAGAAAATATCAGTATTAATTTTCTGTGTATAACTGTGAAATTGTTTCTCCAACACAGCTGAGCAGTTTTCACTATCTCAGCTCACTGTGTGCCATCACTAGGACTTCTTAGCCTTATACCAGGTGAAATAACAGAATCACTAAACTGATTAACAACAACATTACATTAATTCCACATGAATACCTTTTCCATGTGTATTATATTATCTTGAATCTGTTTCTTCCTGAAATTCTCATATTACTGAGAAAACATGAGCCAAACAGCAGATAGAACATATTCATTCACATCGTGTAGCTCTCAACATTTCCCTCCAGTCATGTTATGAAAGGCTTACCCAATAAAACAAGTTTTTCATGACCACCCTTTTGTTTTTATATTCTAACCTGTTAGGTTAATAATCAATATGAGGGTATATAAGCTAGAAACAAAATAATATATTTACAAATCATATATTACAATTAGACTGCCCACTTACTGTAATTTACAAAATTGCTTAGGCTACCAGCTGGCAGGTAACTAAAAAATCATTAAGCAAACAAGAAAGATTTAACAAATAAATGAAAACTAAACACTACAATACAAAAGCTGTTTGGTAGTGTGCCTCACACATTCTCTCTCAGTGTTAAATGTCACAATGCAACTTGCTACTCTAAAACACTCATGTTTCTGTTAGTAATGTTATTGGTCAATTCAGAGAGCTTTCCTGTCAGCTCTATCTATGCCCGTAACTCAATGTTTCCTTTTAAGAGACATGCAGTATATATGTCTTCAGGTATGAAAGGTATTAACATAGACAAATAAACACTGGTAACGTGCGACACATACAATTATAATTAAGTCTAAGGATTTGCATACAAAACGTCTCTCGGGACGATTCCTGCAAGATATTTCTGAACTGGATACGACACCGGGTCCCCTGCTTCTCTACCCGGCTGGCACACTAACCGGGCCACGGGACACAGTAACCGGACCGGACCGGACCGGACCGGACCGCCCTCTTCACCACGAGCTCTAAGACACCGGAAACGATTTGTTTTCGCCTACAGTGCAGTTTCTTCAGTCTTCAGAAACTCCACGCATCTACAAATAAAGCAAGCAGACACGGAGGGGAGAGTTTCTCGCGTGTAAATGGAAACGCCCGTCTGGCCAGGATCGCAATTACGAGCTCTTTGTCACATAAAACTTTCGCCAGGAGCGTTTCCTGCTGCGTTCAGTTTGATCGAATGATGTCAGTTTTACATCACCAGCGCTTCTTCATAAAACGAGCTAAACCGCGTCAAATTCTCAAAAGCTAGGAACTCTCCCCTTTACCTTTCAGTCTGGGACTAACTTCTGCCTAATTATTTGCAGCTCACCTCATATAAAAATCCACATATATCTTAGATTTTGTATCGAGGAAAATTAGAAATACCTGATTCCCTCGTGTGCCGCTCCTCTGATGTTGTGACATCATGCAGGTGTGCGCTAGACACGCTGACCCAGTCACACGAATGACCTTTGCCCTGATTAGGGCTCCTGTCACATGACCGAGGTCGGTTGTTTCTCGTTCCCTGCGCCCCCCCCTCTCCAGACGTCACAGTCTTGGGTCGATAGTAGCTGGACGGACAGGGGTAGGAGCGGCCGGAGAGCCAGTGAGTACCATATTTTGATTTGTACCTCGTTACTTCACGGTGCACAGGTGCCGAGCGGGAAGGGGCCGTTACTGTGCGCATACCCGAGTAAAAGACCCTGTACAGTCCGGTACCGTGGTTTGTGGTGAGGCAATCCGTGCGTGGTCACATTGAAACCGCTGCGGGGGCTGGGGGAGCGCCCGAGCGCTGACCGGTGGAAACGGTAGGGGGGTTTTCTCTCCTGAAAGGGTTAAAGCAATACTGCCCGACTAATGCGAGAGCGAAGGGTCAAGACTGCTCCTGGCAGCTGCGGCCCGCGCGTACTCGCCTCTCGGACAGCCGAGGTCCACAGTCACCTCTCCTGCCTGTCACGCTCATCGCTGGTTCTTACTTGGAGTTTTGATTCAATATAATTAACTCTGTATTTAAACTTTGAGCCACTATTTCGGTCTCTCTTAGCTCACGGGCTTGCGGGATGAATCCTTGGACACACAACATTCCGTTTGCAAAGCCAGATCCTCAGGCAGCAAATATTTTTGCTTCAAAATCGTTGTGGGTTGTATTTGGCAGGTGTATGAATTGGAGAGGGGTTCTGTAGTCCCCAGTGTTGTGTGTTCAGCTGGTGTTCAGAGTGCCTTATCAAAGACTCTTGTCTTCCAGGAGATGTGGTAATGTTTGCTTAAATGTCTTCAAGAAGCAGGGAAAGAGAAAAGGCTATTTGATTTATTTTTGATCACAGACTGTTTATTTTTGTCAGCAGTGTTTGCCAACTTTTTGTCTTGTGTGCTTTTGAAGCTGCACCTCCCCACCTGAGAGTGCCTGTGTTTCAAGACGAGTGACAGAGTCTTTGGAGGAACAAGTGCTTCAGCATGGATGGACCTAGGCACTCTGTGTGAATGTGCGTGTGTGAACGAGTGCTGATTAGGTGGGTGAGAGTGCAGATCTGGATGCTGTATTTGGCTCTTCTGCTGGCGCCAGCGCCTGGGTTCACAGACGGTGGTGGCGAAATTGCTGGGCACACTCTCCTGGCCTCAGGACTGTCTTGAGAAATTAGGAGGCCTGGGGTCACACCTACAATGGGGCTTTATTATGTGAAATTGAGCTCAGCCTCCCTGCCAGACACCAGGGAGCTGTGATACAGAGTTGGGGGATGATGTGATCTGGGGTGGGGGGGGTCAAGGGCATTGTATAGTGTGAGTGGATAATAAACCAATCAATAATCTAATCAATCCACAAGTTAATGAGTCAGCAGCATGTTGATGGTGTTGCCAGTAAGTAATCCCTTTTTCTTCTCATTAGTGTGTTTTATGTTTTGTCATGCTGTGTCTGAATGTGTTATGTGTTTGTTCATTATAAATTACATCAGGTCTTGAGTTTAATCATTTCCTCCCTCAACATTTCAAATATTAAACATGCTGCTAGGTGCTTGTCCCAGGTTGCCTTCTGTCCTGTGCTGTACTAGCCTTTAGGTTGCATTTGGCTGAAGGTCTGTTGTGTATGTGTGTGAACAGAGGCATTTGTTAGTGTCTGGCGCTTCTGGGATTTATTTAATTTATTGCTTCGAGAAGCCACCTTTAAAGGTGCTATATAAAATTACATTTATCATTATTATCAGGTTTATCCTGACCTGGGGTGTTCTCTCACCCACATACTTCACATAATGCCTGAGAGGGGTTGAAAGTGCACGACGCAGAGAGACTGGGTGACAGACTGGAGAAACTCCAGGGGAGAGAGAGGAACTTGCTGTACGCTGCCGTTTCATAACACAGGGGGATTGAGAAAGAAGGATAAGAAAGGATAAATAATCTGGGAAAAGAGGAGTAGAGAGTGACAACATCATACAGGAAGTCACTCCTGTATTTAGCATTTTCTTGTATTTCTGAGATGAAAACTGGCATAAAAGAATCAAGCTATAGAATGCCACACAAGTCATTAGGTAATTTAAAAGTTCCTGCATATGACTAAAATGTTGTTTTGATATTGTAAATGTAATTTATTTGGCCGCTATAGATTTGATTTCGCCACAGCAGGAATGATTTCGTAAGCACTGATCACAGAGTTAGAGTGAGGGGCGATAAGGAGAAAAACTTTCAGATTGAGCAGAAAAGCCAAACATTGATATTTTCACTGATCAGGAGGGGGTGTAAGTGGCAGGGAGGGGCTGTTTGAGGAAGAGGGGGGGCAGTTAAAATACTTTCCCACAAAGGGAGGGAGGAGTGCAAGAGGTGGGGAGGGACGGAAGAAGAGTGTTGCTCAATAAAGTCGACTGATCAATGCTGACATCACTGCATTGAGGTGAAAGGACACAGCAGAGCTGGAAGAGAGCAGCAGAGACAGCTGTTAGAACAGCTACAGAGACTCTTCTGTGAGCACAGTGACTGACCAGGCAGGATCATAGCAAAGAAGCACTGAGTGAAGGTACTGTTTCACTGAACTGGGCCTCTGATCAGCTTCTGTTCACTGTATCGCTGCTGTGTTCATTCTTTCCATGCTTCATAAAATACAGATTTTGAATCTGTTCTAAATTGGTGATTTAAATATGAGCTCGAGGGTGTGAGGCAGGAGATGGGAGCAGAATCTGCTTTTCTGGCTGTGATTAATGTTATCCGGAAATTCCACTCAGTGTCCAGAGCACCCTGGTGCCGTGTTGGCATCAGCACAGGGAGCTGGAGTTGTAGACGATCCCCAACATCTGAGACGTAAAGACTGGGGGTGTCTACTGAGTCTACCGGGATTGTCAGACTGTGAGCTGAGGGCAGGTCTCACTAGAACGTACTGTGGTCTTGTTCCAGTGGTGGTGTTCAGCAGCAGAACACTAGAGCGGCCGGGTGAGAGCGGCACTTGACTCGAGAAACAGCACTTGTCGCGGTTTCTCGGGCCTGGAGAGAGGCACTGAGGCTGCTCTGTTCTCAGTCGGGTCTCCGTGCAGGACTGGGAAGAAAGCTGGGAAAGGGTGGAGTTTGAGCAGTGCGATCAGGAGGGGAAGTCCGTACGGGAATTCGAGAATTGCGCTTCTGTCCCAGGGCTGCCCTCTGTGTGTGTGAACAGACATCAGGATAAAAAGGTTTATATATACATGTTTTTAGAAGTCTGAAGTGCTCAACACCTGATGAAGTTTAGCACAGTTCTGTTGAGGATGAAATGTCATTACCAAACCTGTAGATTATAGCGAGACAGTGGGGACTGGAGAGTCTTTTTCTCTAACCAGCTGGTGCCACATCTGCTGTATATTAGAGGTCTGTCTGTGTCCCTTAAAACCTGTAGCAAATGGAAAGTCTGATCTAGTAGCTGTTGTGATTATTAGCCTAATTAACAGCGGTTTGTCCAAACAAAAACTGAAGCCAAATCTGCTTTATGATGATTTTACTTTGGGTTTTTCTTTAAAAAAAAACAAAAACCTTTTTTGTTGCATTTAATTTAAAATATCACTTAAAAATATTTTTTAGGAATAGCAGTCTTTATTTTAGGATAGTTGAACTGCCCTTTATGACATAGTATTTTAAAATGGGCAATTTTAGAACTGGCAATTGTAGGCCAAGAGCTCCCTCTAGTGGTAATTATTTGGTGTTGCACCTTGACGTGTGAGAGGCGCTTCGTGTGAACAAAGGGCTTGACTCGGCTTAGTACCCATCCTGTTCAGAACCTCCAGACAGTTCTGACATGAATCCATCATAGGCCTGCTCCTGGAACACAGGGGCAGTAATGTTTCGTTGTTTTTCAAAGAGGAGATCTTTGTCCTCTGATGGCGGAAGCGACGTACTGGTTCTCTCCTGTCTGTGTGTTGCAGGTGAGGTTGCCGTGTGAGTGAAGATGGAGTACGCTATGAAATCTCTCAGCCTCCTTTCCACCAAGTCCCTCTCCAGGTAAGGGCCAATTACCAGTGTCTTGCAGGCCTCACAGCTTGCTGCTGTCATGATTTTTCATGATCACCTGCATTATTAGGTTTTTAATCAAGGGGTTTATTCAAAGCAACTGGCAGAAACTGCTTACGGTACTTTTAAAGCTATTTAACCATGTTGTCTGCTGCCTTGCTTGGTGTTTGTATTGTAATAAGATTTTTGGCTGTCTGCAATTTCAGCTGATTTGCGGTTGTCGGCGCAGCTGTACGACTCCCTCCCTCTCTCCGCAGGTGTGTCTCTGCCAGCGCGTCCATGACCCAGCAGCTGCTCGCAGGCCCGGCGGCTCGGCCCAGGCCCTTCCGGGTTGCCAGCGCCGACCGCAGTGTGAAGAAAGGCATCATGGCAGATGGGCTGCGGGACCTCCTGGACAAGGTGTGTGCTGGAGACGCGCAGCTGCTCTGTGAGGATGTGTGTGTGCCTGTGTGTCTGTCCCTTAATCCCCCGGAGCCTGTCTGTCCACTGGCCGGCCTGTCTGGCTAATCCAGGTGTCTGTCTCCAGGTGAGAGATGCCCTGCACATGCCCTGCGTGAGCGCGCTGGTGCTGGATGAGGATGGGACAGTGGTGGACACAGAGGAATTCTTCCAGACTCTAGATGACAACACCGTGTTCATGGCCCTGGATAAGGGGGAGAAGTGGACACCTGCACAGGTGAGGAAGGCTGATATAACACAAGCAGAGCCGAAGTCCTCATCTCCAGCCCTTAAAAGCAGCGGCTTCTTCTATTCTGGAAGTCTTTTTGCTTTAGTTACATCCATAATTAACATTGCTTTTCTTGAACTGCACACTTGGAGACCAAGTCTCGGTTCTGTCTTCTCTCTCACATTTGTCCGTCTCTTCTTCTCAGAGTGGTCACACCCGGCTGCAGCTCTCAGACCGCCCCAAGCGCAGGAAAGATGTGGCGCGTATCACCTTTGACCTCTACAAGTCAAACCCACGCGATTTCATTGGCTGCCTGAACGTGAAGGCCACTCTGTATGGGATGTACTCGATCTCCTATGACCTGCGCTGCCATGGGGCCAAGAAGATGTTGAAGTGAGTAAGAGGGGCAGAGTGGAAGACAGATTGACAGGGACTAAAAGTGGTTGCAGGAAAGAGAGATGGATTGAGGTGGAGGTGGGGAGAGTGATTGGTAGAGATACAAAGGTGTGTGTTTTTCAATGACTCGCCATTAAATTATTGTTACCTGGCTCGATCTGGTCAGGTCTCAGAAAGTCTGGTCAAGATTAGTGTGGGGATGGGCAACCACTAAGAGAACCTCTGGGGACCGCTGTTGTTAGTTGGTTTTGGGACATTACTGCCCATTGTGACCAGGGATACTGCTGTAGGAGGTTCTGTCCTTTGGTCAGTAAAGATCTTATGTCTGTTGAGTAAGGGTGCTCTGGCTAAATTCCACTGTGGACTGGACAGTCCGGCCTCACTGAAGCTCCCTCTTAGTTCAGCTAGTGCACATCTGCTGCTGTCTCGGCAGGGGGAGCTGCTCCTCGGTGATGGACCAAGCAAATTGGGGTCCTTAGAATGAAAAGTACTATTTAGAAATCAATATATTTTGTTTAAATCAAGAAAGAACTCATATCGAAAGGATACGGGCCCTGCTGAATTTACACTTAAAAGCCAGTCACTTTATGTTGTGCATAAAACATAAATATCAAGGCTGCTCTTAAACCAATATTAAAATATAAAATGTTTCTGAACATGTTGTTAGGCCGACAGTGTGTTTTGGAGTTGGAGATGATGCTTTAATAAAACTGTGGAATATAAAAGCCATGGAAACTCGGGTATTCATTAATAAAACATTTATATATGGGAGCAATTTGGCTTTTGTTAATCTTACATATAATCATTATGAGGGGTCAGATGCTATTCAGGTGATAAAACTTTGGTTGTATCGAATTTATAAAGGCAATCCCTTGTCTATTTAGTTACCCAACAGTGACGTTGCTTGTATTTTTTATGTGCTTAAAAGTACAGTAATACAATACTGGCCTTTTAATCTGAGGTTATTCTCTTTGATCATTCAGCTAAACCTTTTTGCTATCTAGCCCCTGAGGATTATCCTGTTTTTTTTAAATGGTGCAGGAGGAGCATTTTATGTGCTTGGGCAAGCTCCTCCCTCTCCGGCCATTCTGCTCCACACCTCAGAGCATCAGGAGCAGAATGCCTTTGTGCAAATCTGTCTTCGTGCTGTTTCACATCGAGGGTGAACTGGAGCATCATTTTGATAGTGCATTTAAATCAAAAGGTCAAACAGTAGTTCCAAGTTTACAGGTGTGATCTGCAATGTAAAAAGTAGTTTTTGTGCAGGACCGGAAAGGTTAGACTGCAGACATTAATGATGAATCTGACTTTTTCTGCACAGAGAGGCCCTCAGATGGACGCTCTTCGTCATGCAGGCCACAGGACATGTCCTGCTGGGCACCTCTTGTTACATGCAGCAGCTACTGGATGAGGAGGAAATAGAGGCTGTATCTAAGGAGCCTGTTGCCCCGCCCAAGCATGTGCAGACCATCCAATGGAGGAAGACAGGGGTGTGACCTCAGAGGAGTGCGCAGACATACACATGGGATTGAATGCAGTGACTTGGGGGTGGAGCTCCGTTGAGGAATCCTGTTACCAGGCAACACAATGCAGCTCTGTCCTGATGAAGGATGATGTCACAGACTTGCTGTTGGGAACCTGGGGCTTGTGTTTCAGTACCAGACTAGCTTCATACTTCAATGCTGTGTATTTATTTCTGCCTTCCTTGTCTGTAGTGTGTAGGGTGTTTTTGCATGAATGTGCAGTTTGGGGCAGAGATAGTGTAGAAGGTGTGTGTTTGGGGGGTGTTTAACAGAATTAGGAATTTTGACAAATTCCTGGTACCATTTATTTGCTTGTTGTATTCAGAAATTGAGCCTCAAGCTTAATTTCATATACATAGATTTTTGTCTCTAGTATATTTTATTTGGTGGTATCTGTTTATGAATTAAGATGTTGCACCTGCAGCAGTGCTGTTTAATTAATGAAGAAAACGTCCAGCTGTATATATATTTATATTAATCTGATTGTTCTCAGAACTCACTGCATGGCATCTGTAGCTGTCCTCAGCTGGCGATTTACACTCTTTCACAAGAAAGCTCTTTCCTGCCTCTGTACTGTGTGGGTTTGTGTCCTGGCAGCTGATTTATGTCTTTCCAAAATGTGGGCTACTCTGCAGATGTGAGACTTATGTTTTATCACTTTGGTCTTAATAGTTCTGAGGACAGCAGTTTAAACTCCCATTGCCCAGCAGTTGGAGCTGCTCCAGGTTTTGCTCCTTGTGGTTTCCTTTGCCAAAGAGTGTTTCATGCTTGATCTAATGATAAAACGAAAATAATAAAATAGAAATATGGATTACTTTGTAATACGTAGAGGGTAATTCCACTGTAAAAAGACAGTAAAAACAGTGTTATACATGAATAAAGCTCCACAGCAGGAATTTATCTTTCTGCTTTTCAGTGTGGAAAGCTGTGAACCCTCTACTTGTTCCTTTGCTGCCAACCCTCCCCACTCGAATACCTTCTCTGTCATTACAGTGTGTCCAGCTGCACGCAGCCAGGGGACAGAGCACTGTCTGAGCTTCAGCTGGGGAGCAGCCTGCCTGTGATTGCTTTGCGGATGCAGCCCTGTGCCTTTAGGGGGTTCGGTCTGTTCTCCTTTTCCAGTGTCTGGTGGTGGTTTTCACTGCGATGTGTCGCTCAGCGCTCACTCACAGTCACAGCAGAGCTTCCCAGTCCAACACGCACCCTCACATCCGTTTCTTCCCCACATCATGGAGATGCACAGAGCGCTCGTGGTCTTGCAGGGAGTCCGCAGTGCCACACAGCAGCTGGAGTAGCGAGGGGAGAAGAAAGGGGGGCACATTTAAAGACTGCAGTTCAGAGCTTGTAGTTTTCATTTTTACATGGAAAACAAATGAAGATCCTTTATCCTGTTTATGACTTTTATTTATGTTTTTTATAACGATTACGGTCAGTGGAGCCCTTCTGCATTTAAGCTAAACTGCTCTGCTTGAGAGGATCCGAGCATCATGCAGGTTCTGAAGGAGCTAACACTTTCGCACAGAAAGAGACTTTGAATTGTGATGGTCATACACCTGCTGTGGTGGCATGAAATGGGACAGTTCCACTGTGTTGTTGATGAAGCAGTCTGACACGGAAGGGCTCTAGTGGTGCAGGGCTGCTGTGCAAAGTCTTAGAGAGCCCTGTCCTCCAGTCTGCACATAAAGCTGCTCAATGAGGGCAGGAGAGTTTGCATTCCTACTGTTGGGGTATCTAGGACAAGGATAGGGCTCATGTCAAAGTGTAAAAACTTTTATCCTGCCCTGGTGTGTGTCACTGATCTGCCTGATGTTTCTTTTGGCCCGGTAGTGGAGTATGTTGGGCTTCAGTCTCTGTGTTGCAGTTGGTGGTTGCGTGTGTGGAGGGCTGGGACTGGAAGGCATTGCAAGAGCAGCCTCCTCAACAGGAATCCTAATGCATAAGCTAACCAGAAGTTTTGTCAGTAGGATAAATATAAAAAAATAACTGTTTATAGATAAGCAATGGGTGTTTTAAGTATAGTTGTGCGAGATGAGCTGAATTGCAGAATGTGGAAAGCATGATATACACCTGATCTGTCTCAGGCAGACCATGATTTAATAAATGGTCAATCCATTAATGAAAATATAATGAATATGCGAGCTGGAGAGTAGAGAAGCTCTATTCCTCTTCCCTGGAGAGCACAGCACTGCAGGCTGTATAGGGTCCTGAAACTCCTCTGAATCCAGTATAAAAGCGTTAGGTTGATAAATGATTTAGTTCAGTGGTTAAAGGTCTAAAAGGCAACATTTATACAAGCTTAAATTTATAAATATATTGGCAACTCAATGCTGAAGCATGCTTTCAGATTTATAATGTAAAAATGTACATCTCTCATGGACTTTTTGCATAATGGCTCACAATACAGTGATCAGGATGTCACTAACTCTGGTGTCCAGCAGCTTAAATTCCTGCATTTGCAGAGCAAATCTCCTGTCCTCTATCAGTTGCCTGCAGGAGTCCAAGGTCTGGCGTCTGTGATATAATCTGGCTAATGCTGAAAGCCATGTTGCAGCACTCTTTGAGGCATGCATATGTTCGTATGTACAGATGGGGAAACCCCACGCCTCAGGGCGTGGAACAGTCTTCTATTTACTGCCTTAATGCCAGAGATCGTTTAATGTTCCTTTGTGCACGTGATAGCTTTAATGGATACCAGGAAGCCCGATGCCCTGTGCTGGCAGTACTGTCATAGCTTTAGAGGTGTGGGTGTCAGCCTGTGTTGGGCAGGGGACCCAGAGTGTCTGCTCTCTGAATGAGCTGCTCCTCTTTTATTTAATGTCTTTCTCACTCCTTTAGTTGTGTTATAGCTACAGTATGCCTGTAAACCTTAAAGTAAAATTATAATGTCCTGTTACAATTTGTACTGCAATAAAAATACATGTAAATTCAATCACATTCAGTCCTTTTCTTTTCTTCTTGGGAAGGCAACTGTACATTTGTTTTTTTCCATAACCATTTTTTCATGTATTTCAGACAATGCAAATTCTGGGAGAGACTCAGTCTGGCTCACTCATCACGTCGGCTTGTCTCCCATCTTCAGATCCATGCTGTCTTGACGGAGGCAGTCTGCTTTAATGCGAGTGAGGTTTATCCTGTCTTGGCTGCTGGGCAGGGCATTGGTGCCCTTAAAGAAAGGCAGATGTGGTTGGAGTGCAGCTGTGCTTCAGGAGTCTTTATGCTGGCACAGGAGTGTCAGACGTTTGATTACATTGTGTAATGTTGCCCCTTGCAATTTAATCTCTATAATTTAATATAAGTGATGTTTCTTTTTTCACTGCCTCCCCTATGGTCTAACGTTGTTACTTCTGCCACTGCTTCCCGCGGAAATGATAGCCTTCGGAGCTGCAATTGGGTTTCCATGTGGCCGATTCGGAAATGGAAAACAAAAGGACATTGGAGTGGGAGGGTGAGAACGAGGGAAAGGGGGAGCTGAGATTGGAGGGACGAGAATGTAATTCCACTTTTTAACAAAGCAATTAGAAGGGGACAAAAGTTTACAGCACAAAGCTTGGAGCCTCTTTTCAGTTAGATGCATGCACATGCTAAAGACTGGCACGAATAGAGAACAGGTCATGCTTATCATCATTATATACGCCATTCTCTGCAGCTGTCTGTCTCTGAGCCCAGTTCCTGTGTGAGGAAGAGTTGTGACGTGAGACTCGTGAAGAGCCCGGTACTGATGCAGCTGGATCAGGGTAATTGCCCTGGCCGGCAGGCTGCATGTGCAGCTCCAGCCCAGATGGCAGTGTTTTGGGAGGGGGCAGGGGGCTGAAGACTTTCTTCACTGAATTACACTATCAGGAGAGGAACTTCCAGCTCCTTGCAGAAGCAAGGGAATAGAGAGTGTGACATGGAGAATTCTCCAAACTATACTGCAGGTCTTTACGCATCTGCTGTCCTGCTCCTAGTTCTCACCTGGGGCTGAGAAGTGGCTTGATGACGCAGTCTCGGAAGGTGTGTGTGCACAGGTATCGCTATAAGTCTGAGGATTGAACTGAAGAAAATGGCTTTCACAAGGGCAAGTAGGTGCTGAGGATCGCTGAGAAGGTGACCTCTATATAAACCAGATTACATCTTCTTTCTTGCAAGAATTGTTGCTTGTTTTCAGTTTTAAATATACTTCCTGATATGCAGAATAGTTAATTTTAAGTGAGAGGAAGAGTCAGTCTGTGAGACAGTCATGTGCCCTCTGAACTCACGTGGCCAGGAGGAGTAGAGGTGGAGGCAGAGGGTTAGGTGCATTGGCGAGCCGGTTTAATAACAGCCTGTTCCAAATCAACGCAGTACGTTTTCCCATTACAAAAGTCTGAATTATAAATAAAATCAACAAAAGGATCACATGAACGCGTGAAGAGCTTCAGCCCTGAGCTCTCCCTAGTTTTGCCGCAGAGCTGTGAGCATGTTAATGAGAGCTACTGTAGGTGGAGTTTGATAGCTTGATAATCAGTGTGTGATTGCAGCACAATATGCAATATTTTAATTCAGCAGATGCAGCTTTTTCCCCATCTCCTATTCTGATCCGGCTTGATAAGCATTTATTTTGGGTAACTGAGAATACTTGTAAGGAGTTTGCTTGCAAAATACATTTTCAAGTCTTATGCAAATAATCTTTCTTATGTTTTGTAATAGCAGGTAGCAGATATTTACAGTCCCCTCCGTAATATTGGGACAGCAAAGTCAAAATTGCTATTTTTGCTATTTACTCTTACGGATTTCAGATGAAAAGATAAACAAGGAGGCAATACTACAGAATATTACATTTTATTTCTGAGTGTATCTGTGTGTATATACTGGAGTGCAGTGTCTGGAAATGCGCTATATAAGTGTGACATATTTTTAATGGGTGAGGAGGTATTTTCCTGTATACAGACAAGCTGTTTCTGTACTCTTCTGCAGTCATTCTACAGCTACAACCATTACATTACATCAATAAAGATGAGTGAGCCAGCTCCAGAGATGGCAATGCATGCCCAAGTTCTGACACTTTTCTTGCCTCAGTCTGAATTGCAGAACATGGCTCTGCGCATACCTGGAATTTCGGTCTATTGGAGGTTTTAAAAGTTACTGTGTACTTTATTATTATTGTGGTTTAAAATGCACTCATTTGAGGTGAGTTGAGCGGAGGAGCGTCGAACTGATAAAGAATTGAACAAACTATTTCCCTATACTTAAAATTTAAATTTGCAGGAATGGTAGGGAAGTCTAGATTAGTTTCAGTTACTCTTATTTTACTGTGAAGGTTTCTCTGTTGCTTGCCTGTCTCCATGTTTCTGTGCTCATTAACTCTCTAATGGATCTCGTATGGATCAAGGCAGTCTGCACCAGCAGGTGAAGAAGGGTCATTAAAATCACAATTAGCAGCAGACGCTGGTTCTTCATTAATGTGGCCAAGTTTCCCAGTGCTGTTGGTCTTTTCTATTGACAAATCTGTGGCTCCTCTCTCTCTTTGTCCCACATTTGTTATGGACAATAACAAATTTGTTTCTTTTTGAGGAACAGACTACTCCCTTCCAAGCACATCTTTTTAAATAAGTTACTGTACAAATGAATTTGCAAAACAAAATTATTTTAGAAGTTTCAAAGCTCAATAAAACAATGGGCCTGAACCAAACTAATGGAGCTGGGGTGCTGCTGTCTCTGACTGTGTGGAATGACAGGGTGGGGCTGTGGGTGTGGTTCTAGAGTGGGCGGTGGCTTACAGAAGGGTGCTCTTGGCAGTGCTGGGAAACTGAGCAGCTCTAGAGAACATCAAAAGACTCACTGTTAACCTAATGCCAGCATGCCAACTTCTCTGACTGACCTCACAGTGGGCTGGTACTGGAAAAGTGACAGCCATGCCTGAGAAAGAGTGATCAAAAGATAAATGTCTGAGATCCTTACAGATCACATCATGGCCTGGGAGGGAGTCGCGAGAGATGTGAAAGAAGAGTGAAAAAAAGTGAGAGGAAGAGAGCTGGAGGAGATAGTAGTAATGGGAGAGATACTGAGAGGCAGTAGAAAGATGGGAAAGAGCAGGAAGAGAGCTTGGTTCATATTCATGCCTCTCAAACAAGCAGTATTAAAGGTACCTAAGAGTAATGTATGTAATGTGGTCACTTATATAAGTACTATATGTTTTGTGCTGTAGCTCTCCCTATTCCTATAGCATCATTCACTCCCTCCCTGCCAGGCCAGCTGAGTCATATCTTAAGAATGATTCTAATGCTGTTGTAATAGCACACACTGAGTCATACATCTTTATAATAACACATACCATTTATAATAACAATAGCAACACTCTACTTTTAACACCAGTGATCATGCTGTTAAAGTCTGTCTTTAACAAGGTTCAGTTAAAGTGGCAGATTTCTCACCATTATGAAGATGAAATTCTTCAATCAATAAAAGACTAGGCTTTTTCAGCTGAGTAAGTAAAATTGGCCAATTAGCCTCCTCTCATTAGTGACCTTTCTCAGGTTCTGAAGACATGTGTAGAGGCTGCTACCATGTTCGTGAAGATTTAAGACTTGTTGTTTTATTCCTACTGTAGTTCTGCCCATTGATAGACTGTGGGAGAAAGACAAACTGTTAAAGAAGGTGGGGAGCTGCAGTCCCTCTAATCAAGATGATGGTGATTCTCGTTGTAATAATTAGCTTCATTAGGCAATTGAGCTCCGTGTTGGGAGGAGAAGTGGAGGACCCTGGAGACTCTGTCCTTGCTGTTAAAGCAGCGGCCTGATGCGAAGGACTGGAACTTTGCTGTGGAAGCTGGCAGATGCCTTGCGGGCTTTTTAAATGAGGTGCATTGTTAAGGCTGCCTGTGTTGTCAGTAGCTAGAGGGAGCAGAAGATCTATCATTTATTCTGGTTTCATTAAGGTGTTCCATAGCTGGAGGGTCAGCACAGTGCAGCCATTCCCCCATGGTCCATCTGCAGTGGACAGCTGACAGCTGACAGCACCAGCGTGTACTCTGTCTCACCTCAACCTTACATCTCTGACATCACCTCATGAGCTGTGTGGTTGACGTGTCTGTTATTAAAGACAGCACAGCACTGTTTCCGACACTGCAGCAGTAATGATGGCATGGATGGCATGAGTGCTAAGCTGTCAGCAGTGTCACTTCACACAAGAAACCGATGTCAACCGAGGAAACTTCTTCCTAAACTTGGAGTTGCAGTAGCATATTTTCAGAAATTAAAAGAAACTGGGTATCAACACCTTCTTGATTCCTAAAGAAAGAGGAAAAACTCCCAGATCAGGCCAGGACAGAGAACAGGGCAGAGAGAAAATGAGGGCTGGAGGTGCAGTTCCTCATCGTTCAGTCCTGATACTGAGGAGCATCAGTCACTTGGATGAAACTGCTCCTGATATCCTTCTTTTTCTGGAGGGGTGCTCTGTCTCCTTCTCTTTCTCTTTTTTCTGGACAGGTGCTCTTTCTTTCACATGAGCAATACTTCCTTTTCCACTTGCTTTATCACCAAATAGAATTCGCCAGTTTACAATTGGTTCAGAGTAACTCATAGTGGACTGGGTCAGAGTGAGACATGGTGGACTGGTTCAGAGTGACACTTGGTGAACAGATTTGCTGGCCCTAAGAGGATGCTGTTGTTTACAGACACTTTCCATCTGTACATGTTGTCATCCCAGGGAGTTCTGAGGGACTCTCCAGACTCTGACTCTCCAGATGGAGAAGCCTGAAGAAGTCTTCTCCCTTCATCTAATCGCTAATTAAGTGCTTCTCTTGAAAAGAATGAAGAGGTTTAATTTGTTTAAGATGAGGCCTGAGACAGATGACTGCAGCCTGTCCTCCTCTGTGCAGCATCTGTTTGGGAGATCTTTGACTCCCTTAGAGCTGGTTTAGACCAGGCGCAGCTGTTGGGGAGCACAGTGGTGGGAGTGCCTGGGCGTCAT